TGAGTAGATAGAAAGAAGATTGATGACGATTCTAAAGATTTCCTGCAAAAACTTGATGAGCGATGCAAGTAGATGCGACAAATGAAAGAAGATTGTTCGAAGATTGATTCGCTAGTGTGAGATTTGTTGAGCATCTAAACTTGAGATTTAGATGTGTCGCCCCCCTCGACTTGACTAACCTATTGGTCCCAAGCAAATCGATTAACGTATCCTATTCTAGTCAGAATTCTAGTACTACACTATGTTTGTTTTGATTCGCTATGAAAGTTTGACTGATAAAATGAGGGGTTCGTGGATTTTCCTATGTTTCTAGGGGTGAATCGATTAGCTTGGGACCGAAGATAGTACCAGAGCTGAGCCAAAAAGTTGAGCTCGTTTCTTCGGGACCTTCTGGTCTTAGAGTTACCATAGAGGTAACTCTAAGACCACTGGGTCCCGAAGAAAATCATTATTATTTTTGGCTCACTTAGTACCAGAACAACGGTCCCAAGCAGTCCAAAGCTATTTCACTCACCCCTGCATGTTCTGCATGAATCCACACACCCCTGATGTTATCTGTCAAACTTTCATAGCGAATCAAAACAAACATAGTGTAGTAATAGAATTTCAACTAGAATAGGGTACGTTAATCGTTTGCTTGGGACCAATAGGCTACTAAAGTGGTGAGCCAATTTAATATCGTTAGTTTCGTATTGATTGTTGGAGTTACCTCTATGCTTTAACCATAGAGGTAACTCTAAGACTAGAAGGTCCCGAAATAACGTGCTCAACTTTTTGGCTCAGCTCTGGTACTCTCTTCGGTCCCAAGCTAATCGATTCACCCCTCGAAACATAGGAAAAACCAATAACCCCTCATTTTATCTGTAAAACTTTCATAGCGAATCAAAACAAACATAGTGTAGTACTAGAATTTCGACTAGAATGGGGTACGTTAATCGTTTGCTTGGGACCAATAGGCTAGTCAAGTAGTGAGCCAATTTAAAATCGTTAGTTTCGTATTGATTGTTGATTGTACTATCGTAAAACGATCAATCTATTAATTGTCCCTCATAAACCAGAATTGGCTTATTTTCTAACTCTAATAAAGCAAACATTATCATTTCCTCATTCCAGTATCTTAACACAGATGGCAAGCACCCAAATTGTTGACCTACTGAGAAACTGCTCAGGCAACTTCAAACCCCCGAAACCTTTTCCTTTTCCTTATTAGAAAGTCTGACTAAAAGTAAATTGGACCTTATTTCGTGATTCAATAAGTTTAAAAAGTTCATTAATGGTTGCTTTACAGTACTTTTATTAAAACATCAAAAATACAGCATTAGATGGTTGCATTTCTCCAGTTCGAACCTTCCTCTTTATGGAGCCCATCAGCGCCCGCACAGTGGAAACGGACACGGAATCAGCGCATTTCTTCCATTTTTTCCGCATTTGCTGGATGTCCTTGACTGCCCCGCCGCTTCGTCGAATTCGCTGCTTTAAAATTGCCCAGTATTATGCATTCGATTGGTCGAAATTCCGGGAAATTCGGAGCATTCATTAGCTTGGGGACAACATCGATCTTGTTGGCAGCATACCACTCCAGAACCACCTTGGAGTAGTGGCAGCTGGCCAAATTGGGCCAAAAGATGACTTTGTCCCTATGCTTGCGGATGAACGGCAATACACGCTTTGACGTAGAACCACAGACAAACAGACGTAACACTTTGAAAAAGTTTTTCTTGAAAACGTAGTATCTCAAAACATAGGACCTCAGTAACGACATCTCTCTGGCTTCTCGCGGAAAACAAGATTGCTCGCTAACTCGCTAACAATATTGCATAAAAGTTCTATAGAATATATAGAACGTCAAAGTGATCCGATGCCAGCGCTGCGGTGAGTAGTTCGCGGAACAGATAATATTCAAATCAACCGTTAAATGCATGAACGAAGATACACAATGAAGTGTTACGTCTGTTTGTCTGTGGTAGAACTACGTCTTTGTTGACTATACTGGGAAAGAGTCGAACTTAGGCTGCTAAGGCTGTAAGTCTCTATAATAAAGACAAAAAAAAAATCTATACTGGGGTGCAAATCAAAAAATATATGTGCCAAAATAGTGTTAGGTTTTGAACGCTTGTAACTTTGTCATTTATAGATGAAATTGAAATACAAGTATGCCAATCGATAGGATTTTACATTACGAATCTGCTGAAATAAATATTTTTCCAATTTTCCGTACAAAAGCTTTTGAAAAATGTACAAATGATAATCACTGTTTTCATGAAATAAACGTTTATCCCAAACCCAGTCATCATAATCGAGTACCACTTGGTTGCATATCGTTCTGCTTGAACCTGAAAAGATTTAAAACAGCGCTGCTGTCGTGCCTCTGCTTATGATCATTTTCTGCTTGTCCGTCAGGCAGTTCAGTTCGGTCTTTGCTCGCTCTGTCGAGTTGTTCGATAAGTTTCCAGTTTGTTCCAAACGTTCGCATGTGTACTGCGCGTTTATTCGCGTCGTGAGTTGTGTCGGTCGCATCGTGTGACAGTGTCAGTTTCTATTGTAGTCGATGTCGGTGTCGAATTTAGTGCACATTGATCACAGCAAAATAGCTCAACATTGATCAACCCAATGTAGTAATGTAGGGAAAATTCTGTCAATTTTTAACCATTACGTTAAATTTAAATACAGTACGATGAACTTTGATATGATTATGCTAACATGAACTATCGCAAGTTTTGAACCATAACCGAAACATTGAAACATTGTAATACTTGAAAAATTTAAGATAAAGTATAATAGTCAAAAATGCATGACATACATCAATTTTGCGTAGTTCTACGTCATACTGCGGTTGTGTCTAGGACACAACCCTTTAATTTTTTTTAGGCATTATTCGATGTAAACATCGGATGTCATCGTCGAGGATGTGACGAATGGTTCCGTTTTCAGGCCACAATTGCAAACCGCTTACCAAATCATGGCCTTCTTCGCGAACTTGTCGGCAAACACGAACTTGAATCTTTCTTGCACAATTACAAAAACAAGTAGTAAATTTTTATTTTTGAGTAACAAATACTCAAAAATGGGTAAAATTTTACTCATTTAATGGGTAGTCCCAGTTTCCCTCGAAAATGCTTACTTTGTAGTTATTATTGGGTGTTTTGCGGTTACCGTGTAAGATTTCAGGGGCAACTGAAATTCGCACTAGTTGGCTAGTACACTAGCACTAGCAAATCCGCACAGATGTAAACACCCCATCATTGAGAGCTTTCTATAGAGATTTTCACGTCCAGCTGTATTGGTGCGATATGTGAGAGCGTGTTAGTGAAAATCCGAGGAAAATACATAACAAATCGCTGTCAAACTCATTTTGACAGATCTAATTTCATACATCTTTTAGGTTAGCCAGAGGAAAATAGTAAACAACTTTACACGGCGATGCACCCACTATAGTGTGCGTGCGTTAAACGTCACTAATCTCTATACCAACCCAAGGTGCCTACATATAGGTGTTCTAATGTGTCAAATTCATGATTCAGCCATGATGGATTTTTCTATGGGACAGCGACCGAGTTTGTTTACAATTTGCTCTAAACCCCGAGGGGGACGACTCTATCTACGATGCAGGCAAAATTGTATTTTGCTGTGGTTAGCTGTACGCACGCTGAGTACATAGAAAGAAGATTGATGGCGATTCTGAAGATTTCCTGCAAAAAGATGATGCGCGATGCAAGTAGATGCGAAAAATGAAAGATTTTTCGAAGATTGATTTGCTAGTGTAAAATTTGTTGAGCATCTAGAATTGTGATTTAGATGTGCCGCCCCCTCGCTAAAATCGCACTCCCCCCCCCCCCCCCCCCGCGACCTCCTCGCCTATATAGTGACAAAGCTGTATCACCATTTATATACCCACCATGTACCAACCAATGCATGAATTTGTAATTTATGTGGCAAACACAATGTACAGAGAACATTTCCAACCCGAAAGATGTTCTAGACTGGACCGGGAATCGAGCCCGCCGCCTCCGGCTTGGCAATACTGTGTCTTTACTGACTAGGCTCTCTGAGAACCCCACGACTAACTGTAATACATTTACCCTATATTCCGCTTTAATAATTTAAGCATCTCCCACCCCCATCAATATTGGGAAATTCTATTTCAGTCGCATCAATTCAATTTGTCTAGGCGTGATTAACTTTCCTGGAAATCTTTTCACCCGATAACTCCAGGCACTCAATTTAACCACCAGCGAGCAAAAAGGTTTCCAATACAATCTACAAGCTCCGTGCAGAAGTGTACACTTCTCCATTATTGTAAGGCTAACCTTTCGCCAGTTTCAAGAAGAGTGGGATCAAATTTCCCCCCGAACGAAAGGATTTTCCATAAGCATTTTCGCTCAGAAAGTCAGAAATAAGCTACATACTCCCGTTTTGATGAAGAAAGGTGCTGAAGGATACCAAATCACAAAAGCTGCTCCTTCGCTCGTTTGACGACAACGACGAGGACGGTGACGCAATAAATAAATATGCCACGGGATTATTAGGACTGGCAACGATGACAATGAAAGCTCTTCACTTCCTTTAACCTCATCTTTCAGTTAGAAAGGTGGCATAATCTAGTTCGATTGGTTTCCAGTTCGCAGTAGAATTGGATGAAAGTACCTACCTATACCATAAATTCAAATCGTGTTGGCTTGTCTCGAAAGCATTGATACAGGTGCTTACCGTCGGCAATTGAGAAAGAGTATCCTTCCGAGAAATATGTCCGCCGGAGTCTCTGTCGACTGTTTCGCCCAATGATGGATAACAAGGATCATGGTTTGTTACTTGAACCCCCATCAATTTAGAAGCATTCCTCCCTGACGACACGCCCTCCGGACTTGATGGTCCATTAACAACCGAATGTACCCGGATAAATGACTGGTGTTATTGGAAACCAAACAAATCAATTAACGAATCATGTTTATGATAAGACAATTCATCGTTGCTGTTTTGCCTCTCTATCCATCTATTTATAGGTACCGGTACGTTCGGGCGGGTTTGTCTCTGCCGGGACAAAGTGACCGACAAGTACTGGGCGATGAAGATCCTAGCCATGGCCGACGTGATACGGTTGAAGCAAATCGAGCATGTCAAGAATGAGAAGAACATCCTGCGAGAGATCGATCATCCCTTCATTGTGAACATGTAAGTCTACTTATTAATTAAGCTTCATTTAAAAAAAAAAATCCGAACCACATTAAAGTAAACCCAATTACGACAAAAGCTCACATTTCATTCATTCCAGGCGATGGCACGCCAAGGATGACTGCTGCCTGTACATGCTGTTCGAGTACGTTAGTGGGGGAGAGCTGTTCTCCTACCTGCGCAATGCCGGCCGTTTCGACAATGCCACGGCGAATTTCTACGCTTGCGAAATCGTTCTCGCCCTGGAATATCTGCACTTCCAGTCGGTCGTCTATCGGGACTTGAAGCCGGAAAACCTGCTCCTGGATCGGGACGGGCACCTCAAGATCACCGACTTCGGATTCGCAAAAAAGCTGAAAGATCGAACCTGGACCCTGTGCGGGACGCCAGAATACCTGGCACCGGAAATCATCCAATCCAAAGGGCACAACAAGGCGGTCGACTGGTGGGCGTTAGGTTAGTATCTCCGTTGCTCCCTTCCAATACGAGCGGTAGCAGTTTATTGGCGTGTATGCGCACTTGGAGGCCATCCAATCGTAAATCACCGGGGAACATTGTTCGCTGAGAGGTGGTCGTATTTCTTGTACGGACTCGACTTGGCAGGTCGCGATCTAAGCCATGTAATTTCCTGATGACGGCTTTCGGTCCGCGTTCTGCAGTTCGTGTCACGCCGCACGACGATGATTTATACACGTGAATTTGTCGTGACAACAAATAGAAGCGACCTACGGAAAACACAGACTTCTTTTGAACAATGTTTGATGGTGGAAATTAAATGTGCGGTGGCAAATCCATTCAGATTAATTAGTCTCGAGTGGTGGAGCGATTTGTTTGCATTTAAATTACAAATGAGCTTGTTTAATTTTTAACTCGCGCTTCCTCACGACGCCATTCTAGGGGTTCTTATCTACGAGATGGTCGTCGGATATCCACCTTTCTACGATGATAATCCGTTCGGTATTTACGAGAAAATCCTCAGCGGAAAGATCGAGTGGTCGCGGCACATTGAACCCATTGCCAAGGATCTGGTCAAGAAGCTGCTGGTGCAGGACCGGACCAAGCGGTTGGGAAATATGAAGGTAGGATTGAAGCTGCTGATTTCGTTCAAATATTACTGATGAGTCGTTTTTCGATTGCAGAATGGAGCCGAAGACATCAAGAGGCATCGATGGTTCAAGCATCTCGATTGGGATGTCGTGATAAAAAAACAGTTGAAGGTATTTATTCATTTTAGAACTAAGGTGTTTCACGTCGTGAAGTCCTTGAGCGCTGAATTTTGGCCTAACAATCTAGTAAAAATATTTGCAATGCCAAATTTTGAAATTTAATGTTGCGAACTTGAAATCGCATTCTTCTATTTCTGAAATTTTGGAGATCTTTATGTGTCGGTTTGCACAACCGTGTAATACCGATGCCGATTCCAGCAGTACATTTTCACCCAGTGCATAATCCAAACATCTATGTATCAATCACACAACACCCATACACGCACACTCATACACTTTGCTATGTATCACACCAAGAACAAATAAACGTTAGTCAGTAGTCGTCACGCAAAGGAGAAACACGCTCCTTAATTTTACTCCGTAAAACATACCCCACCGACAGGTTATGGGCCCAGCGGCGGAGAAAAAAAAGTGACGCAATTGTGAAAAAATTGAAGTTTTTTTTCGTTCGCGTTTTAAATCGTCGCGAAAGTAGCCGGTGCGCGTTTTTTCGGTCGATAAGCGAGCAGCGATGGACAGCAATCGTTTTTCGTTGCAAAAATTGAGCAACAGCAATTATCCGACCTGGCGCTTCAAGGTCGAGTTGCTGCTCGTGCGGGAGGAGCTCTGGCGCTACGTAGAGCCTGGAGTGAAGCCCGAAAATGAAGCGGACGCCGTGTGGAACGCGGGAGACGCCAAGGCAAGGGCCACCATCGGGCTGTTGATCGAAGATAATCAGCACGGACTGATTCGATCATCGCAGACGGCCAAAGCTGCCTGGACGGCACTCCAAAATCACCACCAGAAAACCAGCCTGACGTCGAAAGTGTCGCTGCTAAAGCGAATTTGCGACAAGCGGTTCGCAGAAGGTGAGGACATGGCAGAACATCTGTTCGAGATGGAAGAGCTGTTTGCTCGTCTAGCCAACGCTGGACACGAGCTCGCGGAAAACCTCACGGTCGCGATGATCTTGAGGAGCCTTCCCAGCTCGTTCGACACACTAACAACAGCCCTCGAAAGTCGGTCGGACGATGACCTCACGCTAGAGTTGGTCAAGCGGAAGCTGCTGGACGAAGCATCGAAGCGGCAGGGTGCTGCCTCAAGCTCGGCGCTGAAAATCGGACACGGTAGCAAGAAGAAGTCGATCGTGTGCCACTACTGCAAGCGGGAGGGGCACAAACAAAACGAATGCAGGAAACTGGCCCGCGATTCGGAGAAGGGATCCAAACCTCAAGCTAAGGCCAACAAGAGGAAGGAATCCGTTTCTTTCGCGCTGGCTGCAAGAGGAACAACGGGAAACAGCAGTACCAAACCGTGGATTGTTGATTCCGGTGCGACGCGACACACCGTCGCTGAACGTTTTTTCCGAGAGCTGCGTGAAAGTGAGGTTAAGTTCGTCAATTTGGCGGACGGGAAGCAAGCGAATGTCGCCGGTGAAGGTTCCTGCGTCGTCGAGTGCGTTGATGAACACGGTTTGCGTCGTGAAGTGAGCCTAAGCTTTGCGCTGTACACTCCCAGCCTATCGATGAACCTGCTGTCCGTGCCGGCTCTCATCCAGAAGCAAGCCACGGTTGTTTTCGATGCGGCTGGTTGTCGTATTCTGCGAGGGGATGCTGTCGTCGCTGTGGCACATTTGAAGGAAGGCCTGTACCAAATCAAGCAACCGTCGGATACCGTGATGGTGGCAAGCGGCCGCCACAACAAGAATTGCCAGCACTTTTGGCATCGCCGGTTCGGCCACCGGGACCCGAAAGCGATCGACCATTTGGTGAAGGACGAACTAGTGGACGGTCTGACGCTCCACCGGTGCAGCGTCGACGAAAAGTGCGAGTGCTGCTTGAAAGGTAAGACACCACGTACCCCTTTTCCGAGTGAGTCTCATTCTAGATCAAAAGCACCAATGGACCTGGTGCATACGGACGTTTGCGGTCCGGTGGAGGTGTCGTCGAATAGCGGTTATCGCTATTTTATGACCATGATCGATGACAACAGTCGCTATTGTGTGCTCTACCTGCTGAAGGAGAAGTCGGAGGTCGCCGCAAGGATCGAGGAGTATGTTGCGTTCGCCAAAACACATTTCGGCCGGAAGCCAAAAGTCATCCGCTCTGATCAGGGCGGGGAGTACAGCGGAAAGCAGCTGCGTTCCTTCTACAAGCGCGAAGGGATCACAGCCCAATACACCGCCGGCTGCAGCCCGCAGCAAAATGGGATCGCGGAACGGAAGAACCGTTCCCTCATCGAAATGGTACGCTGCATGCTGTTCGATGCACAGCTGGAAGAGCGGTATTGGGCAGAGGCGCTAAACACGGCCGTATACCTCCAGAACGTTTTGCCAACAAAACCCCTCGACGTCACGCCTTACGAGGTTTGGAACGGCGTGAAACCCAAGGTCAATCACCTCAAAATATTCGGCTGCGCTGCGTGGGTTCACATTCCGAAAGTGAAGAGGAAGAAGCTGGACGCCACCGCACAAAAGCTGACTTTCGTGGGCTATTCGTCGGAGCATAAAGCTTATCGCTTTCTCGACAAGGCAACGCGAAAGGTTACGTGAGCCGGGACGTCAAGTTCATCGAGAACGATGCGGACACCATTCCAACGGATGAATCGACTACCACCAACGGTGAAAACGTGGAATTCGATTTCTTTCCACAACGAAGTCCGGCCGTACCGGAAAATCAGCAGGAAGCGGAGGAAGATTACGATTCGGCGGTCGAAGATGAGATCGAATCCGACGAAGAGTTCCTCGGTTTCAGCGATGAAGATCCCCTACTCGGAGAAGAAGCCAGCACGGAAGCGAACGCACCACGGCGATCGGCTCGCTCGACGAGAGGCATCCCGTCTCAGCGTTTCGATGATGTCACCAGCGTAACGAAGCATGCAAGCAAAGAACCCCAAAGCTACTCCGAAGCGATCGAAAGCACCGAAGCGGCCGCGTGGCAAGCCGCGATGCAGGAGGAGATCGAAGCACTTTAAGAAAACGGCACTTGGGAGCTCGTCCCACTACCCCCGGGTCGCAAGGCGGTAGGCTGCAAATGGACGTTCAAGAAGAAGGAGGATGAACACGGACGAGTGGTGCGACACAAGGCGAGATTAGTCGCGCAAGGCTTCGCACAGAAATTCGGCCAGGACTACGACGAGGTTTTTGCCCCCGTCGTACGTCAGACTACCCTACGAACGGTCCTCGTACTCGCCAGCAAGCAGAAGATGTTGGTGAAGCACCTCGACATCAAGAATGCCTACCTGTACGCGGAGCTCCAAGAGGACGCGTACATGAAGCAACCCCCCGGCTTCGATCGTAACGACGGCATGGTGTGCCACCTCAAGCGCAGCATTTACGGGCTCAAGCAGTCCGCTCGAACATGGAACAGGAAAATCGACGGAGTTTTCAAGTCCATGGGTTTCCACCAGGCGGACGCCGACGCGTGCCTGTACATCCGGAATCGCGACGGGAAGCAGACATACATACTCATATAAAGGGTGATACGGTCAAAATTTGGTCAAGGGAAAACGCGTGTAAATCGGTGAAATCGTTTATTTAAAAAATCAAATTAAATTTCTTTTTCAAATTCAATTAGTATAAAATTCAGGAAAAATATTCAGTTAGGCTTCCGCTTTTCCAAATCCGAATTGCCGGGCCTTACGCTTGACCCCTGCCATCAGATTTTGTACAGCCACCTTGTCCACCTTCTTCGCCGCAGAAAGCCAGTTTGCCTTGAACTGCTGCTCGCCCTTAGCAGTTTTTTTGGTCTTCTTTAGGTTCCGCTTCCCTAATGAAAATTGTATGGTTAATTTGCTTAACGACGTGTTCTGGGTATCATCCAAACCATTTATGGAATAGTTCAATGATTTGGGTTATCGTTCGATAATGGTTATTTTTTATTAGGGTTGACAATAGCCCAGTATTTCTCAATTGGGCGGAGCTCTGGCGTGTTGGGAGGGTTCTTGTCCTTGGGAACCACCTGCACGTTGTTGGCGGCGTACCACTCCATGGCCTTTTTACCGTAATGGCAAGATGCCAAATCCGGCCAAAACAGTACGGAACAACCGTGTTTCTTCAGGAAAGGCAGCAGACGTTTATTCAAACACTCTTTCACGTAAATTTCTTGGTTGACAGTCCCGGAAGCTATGAAAATGCTGCTTTTCAAGCCACAGGTACAGATGGCTTGCCAAACCAGATATTTCTTTGCGAACTTTGACAGTTTCATGTGCTTGAAAACATCTGCTACCTTTCCCCTTCCTTTTGCCGTATAAAACTCCTGTCCCGGAAGCTGCTTGTAGTCGGCTTTGACGTAGGTTTCGTCGTCCATTACCACGCAGTCAAACTTCGTCAGCATCGTCGTGTACAGCCTCCGGGATCGCGCTTTGGCCGTCGTATTTTGTTTATCATCGCGATTTGGAGTCACTACCTTCTTGTAAGTCGATAGTCCGGCTCGTTTTTTGGCTCGATGCACGGTTGTAGACGATACACCCAGCTTATTTGCGGCATCTCGGAGAGAGAGGTTAGGGTTTCGCTTGAAACTACCGGCAACTCTCTTTGTCGTCTCAGCGGCTTCCGGTTTTCGATTTCCCCCCGATCCAGACTTCCTGGCTGTCGACAAACGTTCCCCAAACACTTTAATTACATTTGTAACGGTTGATGTGGCAACTTTTAGCGATTTTGCCAACTTTGCGTGCGAGTAGCTCGGATTTTCGCGATGCGCGAGCAAAATTTTGATACGCTGCTCTTCTTGCTTGGACGGCATTTTGACAACTGAAGAGTGAATTCCAAAATCAAAATAGGAGCAACATTCTACACACACACACCTTCAAAATGAGGGGTGTTCAGGTTTTTTAAATGCAAAATTGAAAGAAATACGTCAAGTTGATATTGACCAAATTTTGACCGTATCACCCTTTACGTCGACGATATGGTCGTCGTCTGCAACTCGGAGGAGGAGTTCGAGCAGGTTCGCCGACAGCTGCAGCAACAATTCAAGCTTTCCTGCCTAGGCGAACTCAAATACTTCCTGGGGATTCATGTGGAGAAGAATGGGGAGCCATACACTCTCGATCAAGCAAGCTACATCGACAAGCTGATTCGACGATTCGGTCACGATCAAGCCAAGCCATCGAAGGTGCCGATTGACCCCGGATACCTCAAGCAAAAGGAGGAGTGTGAATTGCCCACAAACACGTCGTATCGCAGTTTGGTGGGTAGTTTGCTCTACGTTGCGGTCAACACTCGGCCAGACATCTGCGTGGCCGTTTCACTGCTAGGAAGGAAGGTCACCAATCCCACCAACCGCGATTGGACCGAAGCCAAGAGAGTCCTCCGATACCTCAAGGCTACGAACGACCATCGTCTGCACTTGGATTCCGGATCCGACGAAGTGGAATGCTACGTGGACGCCGACTGGGCCGGCGACGAAGGCGACAGAAAGTCTCATTCCGGTTTCCTGCTGAAGTTCGGCGGCGGTCTTGTCGACTGGGGCACAAGAAAGCAATCGTGTGTCGCCTTGTCCTCGACGGAGGCCGAATTCGTCGCACTGGCGGACGGATGTCAGCAGCTCATGTGGTTCCGGAAACTTCTCAAGGACTTGCAGCAGGCTCAAGTAAATCCCATCGTCGTCTGGGAGGACAACCAGTCTTGCATGAAGATCGTGGAATCAGAACGTCTGGAGAGGCGTTCCAAGCACATCGACACGAAGTACGCCTTCACCAAGGACCTGCATCAACAAGGTATCATCGAGCTTCGCTACATGCCAACATGCCAGCGCATGGAAGCGGACCTAATGACGAAGCCCCTACAGCGAGTCAAGCTGGAGAGGCACAGAACTGCCATCGGCGTCAAGGATCCAACCGAGACGTCGAACAAGCATCGTTGAGGAGGAGTGTCGGTTTGCACAACCGTGTAATACCGATGCCGATTCCAGCAGTACATTTTCACCCTGTGCATAATCCAAACATCTATGTATCAATAACACAACACCCATACACGTACACTCATACACTTTGCTATGTATCACACCAAGAACAAATAAACGTTAGTCAGTAGTCGTCACTCAAAGGAGAAACACGCTCCTTAATTTTACTCGGTAAAACATACCCCACCGACATTATGCTGGTCACAAATGCCTTGCCAAATTGATATCCTACGCAAGTGATGTGAATTTCGCGAATAAACACGAAGAGTGTTGATTATAGCAAAATTAGCCATATACAATCGGCTTAGTTTATTTAAGTAAACAAACTAACACTTCTTCCTTCTGTGGCACCTTTGATTATCCGCCTTGGTCTTCGTTGGTGTTCCCGGTGTTCCACATACATAGCTCCGATACGAGAAGAGTCGTTTAAAACAACATTAACTGCTCATGTTTCCGCTTTCTGTGTCTATCTTTGCAGCCTCCTATTGTGCCAAAGTTTGTTTTCGAGGGCGACACCAGCAACTTTGACGACTACCCGGAAACGGACTGGAAATCGGCCCGATCGCTGGACAAGGTCGAAATGCAGCTGTTTGAAGATTTCTAAAACTACTGCAACATTTGCACCCTGAGTTAGACAGAAAATGTTATACAAACACACACACACACACACATGTCTTAGTACAGTAAAAATGGATGATTGCAAGTGGATTAAAAATGTTGCTACTTATAAGACAACACTAAAATATTTATGTTTAAAAATATTTAAAAGAAAAATGGAGAAAAAACGAGATAGAGAGACATACAAAAGCTCTTTCCCCAAATCTTAAACGAGTCAGAAAAGAACGTACTAGAATAGCTTTATAAAACAGTTAGTAAAGAATACAATAAAAAAAAAACTACTCAATTAAGGAGATTTGTTGTATGAGGAAACCTTTTTTTGTTGTTGTAAATATTGTTTCATTGTTCACATGATGGAAATTGTTACAAATCCTCAAGACTTACGGATCAATTATTGAAATGTTCCCAACTTGATAGTGTACTTAGTGTGTATGATTGGAAGGCACCATTTAAATGTTAAGGCAACAGTTTTTTTTTGTTCTTTACTCATTAAGACAAGTCCTAAGGAAAGGGAGCTCTAGATCCTAGCGTAGAATGACGATAACCCTTAACCAATAAGTTATTTAAAAAGAAACAACCACATTCACTGTGATAGAGAGAGAGAGAGAAACCGAGGTTTGTTTAGCAATCCCTAAAAACATACAAACGAAACTTTGCTTTCGATTAACCATCACCTACTAATCAGATAAGTGATGAATAGATTACGACTAATCCAACCCACAGATCCATTTTGCGATTGCGATAGAGAGAAGGGAAATGAACAAAATCTATGAGTTTTAAGTCTATATCATATTTGTTTTTTGTTGCTTTGTATATCTAAGGAGTGGAGAGCTGACGAACAGGAAGAGGATTCCTAAATTAATATCTTCATAACTGATTGAGATAATCACCGTCGTCGCCACTGGCGTTGCAATCAAGAAATCTAGCCATATCTTTGTTTTTCAATTTATCATCTTATCTACCAGTGGAATTCCAACCGAATTCCGTTTCGTTTGTACGTAACCGCTTTAATGAAGCTAGATTTAAAACGATTGTGCCCTTCGAACTGTTCAATGATCCAAGATCAAGGTAATCGCCCAGCCGCAGAAAGCATAATAGCAGTTAGAGTCGTCTACCTACATGTTTCGCTGGATAAATCAAGCTGTAACCAGTCATAAACATTGGATAAAGTAAACCTCTTCGAGTTTCTTTATTGAAAACGTGAAATTCCTTGTCCATAGCACATACAAATCAGTCTCCACCAGATTCGAATAGGGCGTCTTTGAGCCTTTCGCAGGATCGTCTGGCCAGCCTACGTATATCCCGGTTGTCACTACAGAACACCCATCCGGCATCCCAAGAAATATTACTGGCCCGTGGTGGAGTGGTAGGTCTTCGGAAAACTGTCTCGCAGCTACAGACGCAAATCCTTGGTCGATCGGGTACACAAACGTTGCCACGTGGGCGGTTCTTCAAGCATAGGTCAAATTTTACCAACATCACCCCTGACATGATTTCAACTGTAACTTACCTTCAACTCACTTTCCAGAAACTGATACTGATCACACTGTTCACCATCATCATCTACGACCATCGCCGCTGGAGGTACCTCACTGGCGGAAGACGTTCCGTTGGTGTCCTTGTTCAGTCTTTTGCGGTTTATGTGCGAATCGCGCAGAGCGAAAAAGTATTCGCGAAGGTATTGGTTATACTCACTGTGAAATCATTATGGTTAACCTGAACATCCCGAACAGAAAATCCCATCATTCTTACGCGGTTCCTGGTTCTCGGTGGATCCCTTCGGTGGTGGCGTAGTTCTCAATGTCTTCGTACAGATCCTCGTCGCTACTCAAGTCGCTGAAGGTACAGTATCGCGTGGGTTGGGTTTTATTGACCATCCCATTCACCCAGCGGACTAGCTTGTTCCGTTTACTCATGTTCGCCGGGAGTTGTTAAAGACTGGATAAAAACCGCCGGAAGTGCACAAAAAAAAAAAATTCCGGAACGGTGAGAATAAACGAGATTCAAAATTTGACGCGCGCACTTTTTGTCGTATTTATCCCATTTCCTATCCCTCGGTTGCGAATGAAAGGGCTAACTTCACGTACGTTGACGGTAACCGCAATATACTCAATATTGAGTAAAAAACGCTGTACAGACTGGAGAGTTGTAACAACAATCAAAACGAAACTAACGATTTTTAATTGATTCACTGCTTGAGTAGCCTATTGGTCCCAAGTACTTCTATGGCGTATCCCATTCTAGTTGAAATTCTATTACTACACTATGTTTGTTTTGATTCGCTATGAAAGTTTGACAGATAACATCAGGGGTGTGTGGATTCATGCAGAACATGCAGGGGTGAGTGAAATAGCTTGGGACTGCTTGGGACCGTTGTTCTGGTACTGAGTGAGCCAAAAATAATAATGATTTTCTTCGGGACCCAGTGGTCTTAGAGTTACCTCTATGTTATAACGGTTGTCGAATAATTGCAACACAGAAACCACCATCAAGATAGCGCTATAACATGTTATAACTCTGTAGTCTGAACGTACTCTAATGGTACGTTCAGACTACAGAGTTATAACAACAATCAATACGAAACTATCGATTTTAAATTGGCTCACTACTTGACTAGCCTATTGGTCCCAAGCAAATCGATTAACGTACCCCATTCTAGTAAATTCCAGTACTACACTATGTTTGTTTTGATTCGCTATGAAAGTTTGACAGATAAAATGAGGGGTTCGTGGATTTTCCTATGTTTCGAGGGGTGCATCGATTAGCTTGGGACCGAAGATAGTACCAGAGCTGAGCCAAAAAGTTGAGCTCGTTTCTTCGGGACCTTCTGGTCTTAGAGTTACCTCTATGGTCGTACGGCCATTGGGGTTGATGCATGTATTATGACACGCTCTAAGTAGGAGGGATGGGAGTCTTAGATTTTGTGACAAGCAATGCATTAGGTATAGGAAAAATGTCACGTTAGGGGGGAGGGGGTAATTTTTTGCTCGATTTAGCGTGACATAATTAATGCATGGGTCCTAAACAGATAAATAAATATATGGTAGGAATCCCATTTTGAGAAATTATCCTGCCACGCACAATATAGTTATTTTGCTTAGCGACGTGTTCGGGGTATCATCCAAACCATTTGTAGAATAGTTCAATCATTTGGGTTATCGTTCGTTTATCGTATTTTTTTATTAGGGAAGTGATGCCGTTTTACACTTAAATGAAGAATAATAAAAAAATACCATACCCGAACGATAACTTGGTAATGGATGGATAGGATGGATCCCCGAGCAAAGTCGGTTAACAAAATGCAAGCAAATCGATGTTAAAGTTAGCAGTTCCTATCATAATGAAAACTAATTTTGATTTCAACTGTCGCGACAGAAGTCTGATATCATATTGTGCTTTCATTATGCAGCCAAGACTTTTTAAATGAAAGCAACTTAACTTCAAGTTCTGCTGTTAACGTCTTGTTGAAAGTTTAATATAAGTTCATCTGTCGTTGAACTAACAATTATTGTCAATTCGTTTTGTTTAACACATTTTAGGTCATTCGTGACTTGTCCGGGTGAGATTTCAACTCAAGCCTTTTAGCGTGAGAAGCATGGATGCTAACAATTTAATCCAGACCCGAGGGGGACGAAAGTAATCCATTCTGCATTTAATTTAACAGATTTCAAATAAATTTGCTGAATAATTACGATAAACACCGGATAAATTCGATCCGTAATGATTAATAACACGTGTCTTCAGATGTCATCCGATTTCATCCACTATTAATCGATAATATTGGATATATCGGATAATTCTGCTCGTTACTGCTGATGTTATGTTTAGTGTGTATCGCAGTGTTACCTGTCAACGGGGAAAACCGGAAACTGCTTGTCATCTCGCTTGTGATTCAAATTCAAAAATGGAAATCAATATTAGCAATTTTTGGGAAGATGATTCCAAAATTACGGGGCCAATTCCAATAAGTGTTCGGGCGGCGCTGGAAGGAACAAAATATCTCCATGGAGGGTTGGCATCCATTGATGACCGAACCATAGATGCCATTGAAGCTGATGTTCGCCGGATGCCGGAGATACTGGGAAAATCTGTTGAGGAGGTGAAGGAAATGTTCGGTAATATATCCGTAGATATTCGTGAATTTCGTTTCGTGACCGGTGAAAGAAGTGCAATGAAACTTGTGGCAGACTGTATCAAACAACATGGAATAAAGCGGTTTTGTAAAAGGTTGTCCGGACAACAAACTCTGAACGTGACTGCAGCACAAGATGCCTCACGATCTGTCCACAATAAGATTTTGGACTACTACAAAAAAAGGTTTTATCATTATTGAAATCTTAGCTTTCCTGTTATTTTACGACCCCATTCTATTACAGAGACGACACAAGTATTGATTTGTTTACAAAACTGGCTAAGTTATCGCTAAACATTCAGCAGGATAACTGTGGTATCAAACCATGTATCCAATGTCCATTTTGTGGTAACATCGTCACGATACGGCCTGAAAAATCAGGAACTTGGAAAATATCCAACTTTTCAGCTCACGTTAAGGCCACGTGACGAAGAGATCCATAATGCAACCGACTTATTTGGAAACGTTGGCGCTGAACTTAACATAAAAGATTCATCAGCTTTCAACTCACGAAATACGTTTCAAATTCGAAATCGCAACGGAAGCATTGTGCGTGTGAAAAAATCTACATTCCTTTGGATGCTGATGTCGGAAACGGAAAGGTGTTCCTCGGACAGAATTTACAGATTTCAAGGACCAGCGCACAGAATTACATAATTACAAACGTTATTTTTCAGTAATAAAATCAAACACTATTCACACAAAATTTATGTATCATAAGGCTTTTGAGTGGGAGGGAGTGGGTTTGGAAACTGTGACGAGTATACAGATAAAATTTAAGGCCCATACAAAAAAACGTGACAAAGGGGGAGGGGGGTTGAAAATGGGCCAAATTTGCGTTACGTAACTAATGGACCTTCCCTTACAGTTTTTTGCATTAAAATGCTCTTTTTTAAATAAATTATGGTTTCTTACAAATTCAAAGTTATAAAGGCCAGATATCTACACCGATTCTTTATTTTATCTTTTGTTCCCATTATCGTACATCTGTACACCCCGTAATCGTCCGCCTCCTTCCACGAAGATTCCTCCTTCACATGGCCATGGCCCATACCGGCAGTATCCCCCATCAGGACTCGATCGGTAAACTTGGCATAGATCCGATAGGGCTGCAGCGGTTCCAACTTCGTCGCCAACACAGACCTGTCGTATCACAGGAGATCGACATTCATGTTGAAGTACACCCCGTCGAACTTACACAGGAACAGGTTTTCCATCTCCCGCCGCTGGCCAGCCAATTCCGCGTTGAAGTAGATCATCGGGTAAAAGTTGAGGTTTTTCGACACCTGTGCATCGAGCGTGTACAGTTGCTCCGGCAGAGGGACCTTCACTGCCAGTGGGGGTGTAATCAGTGTGACGGCAATAATGGTCGTCCTTAGCGGTGATCACTTTCGGTGCCATCAGTACCTTGAACACATTACCGAGATTCTCGATCGTTTCCATGACCTTTTCAATTACCAGTTTCAGGCCTTTCAGCCCGTTGGCTTTCTCCGGCGTCGAGGTTGTCATGGCTAAAACGATATTTCTGATAACTACTGCATTATTTAATACTGCTGAGTGATTAATTTACCATACAAAGGTGGAGCAATCAAATCAATCTTGATCCAAAGGTTCCTCCGTCGAGAGATCTAGGCCAGCCCGCAGCGCAGTCTTGACTGCATCGATACCCTCGTAACCGTAGCAAGCAAATCCAATATTTGCTCGGATCTTAACCAAGGTTGCAAAGACTCATTTCAGCTAAAATAATGTTTTTCGGAATAATAAAACCAAAAGATGGTATGATGGCATGTTTTACTTGTAACTTACAAGAAGAGGTTACAAAGTATGCGTTGGAAACATAAAACCTGTAAATTTTGCTTTCTATGAGTCACAATCAGCAATTTGCTGATCGCTGAGTGAGTGAGTGAGTGAGTGAGTGAGTTTGTGAAAAATCGCTGATTGTGACTCTCATGAAGTGAAATAAACAGGTTTAATACGTCAAACACATTCTTTGAAACCTCTTCTTGTATCCTACCAATTCAAAATTTGATCATGGCATCTAATTATTTCAGAATTTAGAAAAACATTGTTTTAGCTGAAATGAGTCTTTGCAACCTTGATCTTAACCACTTGCTATGTAAGCTTCCGCTTGATGTTACTCAACAGAATTTCTTTCACTTCCCGTTCCAGCCGCATTCGTCCGAGATGGCCCACTGCAATATCTATTAGATAATTACAATCTAAACCCATAATCCACAAGCAAAATCTACTTACATGACACACTGTTTGAACACATCATACGCAACGGCCTTGCTCTTGAGCTTCTCCTCGAAGCGCCAGGCGGTCTTTTCATACAGTTCCTCCAACTGCTCGTTAAAGAACTTCATATCAACCAAATGCCGGAGGATCGAATTCACTGCCTTGGCCTTGGCAAATCGCTCCGTACATGTTTCCACATCTTCCGGCGAAACTCTTCTGTCAAAACAGCTGTCACCGTAATCTGTCACATGAAAATTAGAGATGTGACCCGATATGTTAGAGATGTGATCGATAAAAACGATATTTTTATTTTTTAGAGATTTAAGCTCGATAATATCGGATAAAAGGGATTTGGCTGAATATTAATGAAATCATTAAACTGAAGAGATTTTCTTGCTAAATTCGAATAAATCTGGGACTTTCGCCCCCCTCGTCCAGACCCGTATTCAGTTAAATATAATGAATGCAAAATCAGTAATCTAATTGATTTTATTGAAAGCAGGATCAGTTTTCCGTTTGATTCAACAATGTAGAATTTTGCTCTCATTTTTGCTGTGTTAACCGTTAAGTCTACCAAAATGAGATCAACTGGAGTATTCAAAATAAATTACATCATAACAGCAAATTTTGATTTCAACTTGATTTCCAGCTTTGCTCGGGTCCATGGATGGTTTTCATTATCATTAAAGTTCTCAAATCATGAGTAAAAAGGTTCTACTATAGTTCTCTTTCCGAAAATGTATGGAGATAACAACTATTTTGAATGGTAATGGTTCTTAACAACCCATTATTTCAAAGGTGTACTTGCAAAAAAAAACCATAATACGTAAGGTTAAAACTTTATCACACAAACGTTTATGTAAAGTTCCATAACCATTTCAGTTGAAGTTTAGCAGGGATTATAAACAATTTTTATCCATTTTTGATAAGGTCAAGAGTAATGGTTCCCATTTATTCGGGTGTTTAGTAAAACCTAAGAGGAAGAGAAGATAAGTGGCTTATTTTTGTCTGTAATGTGTTCTTCTTCTCTCGAGGCAAGCTGATGGACTTTCGTGTCTGCTATTCTGTGATCAGAAGAGCAGGGATAGACACGAGTGGCACGATCTTCAGGAAGTCCATCTAGCTTCTTGGCTTCGCCGATGACATCGACATCACGGCACGGAACTTTGAGACAATGGCGGAAACATACACCAGACTGAAGGCTGAAGCTAGGCGGATTGGACTTGCCATCAACGCTTCAAAGACAAAATACATGAAAGGAAGAGGTTCTAGGGAAGACCATGTTAGCCTACCACCCCGAGTTCAGATTGACGGTGACAAAATCGAGGTGGTCAATGAATTCGTGTATTTGGGCTGACTGTGATACCAGCAGATAAATTCAAAGACGCATTATGGTACTTTGAACTCCGGAGGACGCTCCGGTCGAATAAAATTCGCCACCGCACGAAGTTGACTGTCTACAAGACGCTGATTAGACCGGTGGTCCTCTACGGTCACGAGACCAGGATTATGCTCGTGGAGGACCAACGCGCCCTTGGTGTTTTCGAACGGAAGGTGTTGCTTACCATCTACGGTGGAGTGCAGATGGATGAATCACGAATTGCACCACCTGCTGGGAAAACCATCCATCGTCCACATTGCAAAAATAGGGTGACTGCGGTGGGCTGGGCACGTCGTAGGAATCCCCCAATTGTGTCGCCTCTTAGAGTAAAACTTAATGAATACTGAGAACTCGGTACTCTTATTTACTGAGTTTTAGTCATTCACCCTCGCAATCACCATAAAGCTATTATTTTACGGAACATTCAGTACTTCCTATTACACGACCAGAAGGTCCCGAAGAAACGTGCTCAACTTTTTGGCTCAGCTCGGTACTCTCTTTTCAAAAGTTATTTCAAAAGGGAATGTTTATCTTGTAGATATAAAAGCGCAAATTTGTCTAAATTTGTTGTTTAGCTTCGAAAAATACACTGATTTTTATACATCTCCTGATAGAGCTTTGTTTTTTGAGCACAACGATATTTTCTTCAATCCCCGATTTTTAAATCAAGATTTAATTTTTTGTTCGTTGACACTAAATCTATTCGTTGACAGCTCGCTCCCATACAAAGTCCCACCAACTCATCTGCGAACAACTCTATTGGTGCTGGTGCTAATTTGACAGCTCATCCTTTTTCTCTATGATTAAGAGCAACCGTAACGGTCGTTGTCATTTGCGCGACTATTTTAACAGCGCACAACGCTCTCCTTTTAGTTTAGTCCTAGGTTTAGTCACTCTTCTCCACACCGGTCGCTGCTATCGTGGTTATCAATTTACTCGCCGTAGTCCGTACCGGTACTGAGCATTTTGACATTTCTACGAATAGCAACCTTGCTCCCGCGCTGCTAAATTAGGTAACGCGCTTCTCACCGAGAAGCCGACTGCTATTGTAGTTAGTCGCATGGCAACCCCCGATACGGTAGCTGCGCTATGATGAGGGCTGCTAAAATGAGTTTAGCAGCGTACCGTTACGGTTGCTCTTAATGTTACATATTTGAGTTTAAATCAAGCTGAATATTGCATTAGGTCCGAGGGGGACGACTCTATCTACGATTTAGAAAAGATTGTGTTTTGCTGTGGCTAGCTGCACGCATGCTGAGTAGATAGAAGGAAGATTTATGTCGATTTTGAAGATTTCCTGCATAAAGATGACGCACGATGCAAGTAGATGCGAGAAATGAAAGATGATTTTCCGAAGATTGATTCGCTAGTGTGAGATTTTTCGAGCATCTAGAATTGAGATTTAGATTTGTCGCCCCCTCGATTAGGTCCTAAGTAACATTGACAGATTCTTCCCGTCGACTTTCTCTTTGTATCTCCACCACCTCTCCATGGCCATGTAAATACATTCCCAGGTATTTTCAGCACACCGATCGATAAAAGAAGTTTTTTTTCTTTCTAGCATCTAATACGACAAACACAACAAGAAATGGTTATGTGCTCAAGTTATTAACGAAAGAGAACGTCAACGAAGAAAATCGATCAATGTTATACTTATGACCTAATGCAATGTTCAGCTTGAAATATGTTATGGATCACCAGTGCTGCTGATGTTTTCGCTCGGTTTTCGGCAGTTTCAAGAACTGGATCACATTGCAGGGGGTTGAATGTAACCGTACTTATTTAAAATAGTTCCAGTTTACCGCAGTTGATGAAATTTTGGATTTCGGTTCCATTTTTAAAGCAGATAACGAATATGTATTTACCTGTATTTACCTCAAAACCCGTAAACAACCCAATAGAGCTTTTTGACGTTTAATCGGCGCACACTAATGCACCATTTAAATTGAAGGAGTGCGAGCAAGAGGGAAACTGATTAGTGGGAAAACAAACCATCCATTCATCCCTGTTTGTTAGTCAAAAAAAGGTCTATTGGCATTTTGCTCCTCTTTGAGAATAAAAATATCAATAAAATAAACACACCTCCCTTTTCGCTAAACACCTTGTCCACGTGCACGTGCCGCAACAGCAAGTGAACAACGCCGGTTTCCAACGTCAAACAGTTTTTCATCAAAACAAAAAAAAATCGCTCAACGTTCTGTCAAAAAGATCAAAAACCACCGTCGTCGTCCGGATTGCATCGTCCAGCGGTCAGTGGAAAAGTGCTTCAAAAGGTACACATTCCTGAGCATTTACCGGAAATTTCCGGATTTAACGGAAGCTGACGGTTTCCTGGTCATTTCCCTGTACATTGGGTGGAAGATTTTTTTGTGTGAGGTTCCGAGCTCAAGAGAAAGAACGATGGGTGACATCCGCGACTGGCGTCCTTTTATTTACGGTGGAGTAGCTTCGATAACAGCGGAGTTTGGTGAGAAATCTTTGCTTTTCTCCGTTTGCATGGTTGTTTATTTGGTTTATGGAATCAGATTGCTTACATAATCGGATCGTGTGCGTTATGATGGGTATGTTTTTGCAGGTACTTTTCCCATCGATACAACAAAGACGAGACTGCAAATTCAAGGTCAGAAAATCGACCAATCTCACACCGAGCTCAAGTACAGGGGCATGACCGATGCATTTATGAAGATTTCCAAACAGGAAGGAATGACGGCGCTTTACTCTGGGTAGGTTTGAGTGCAAGAGTTGCCTGGTAGGGGAGTGGTTCTTAAAAGTGATTCTTTTCATAGCATTTGGCCCGCTGTGCTGCGGCAGGCGACGTACGGAACGATTAAATTTGGAACTTACTATACGCTTAAGAAGGTGGCAACCGAGAAGGGTTGGCTGGTGGACAAGGCGGGGAACGAGAACGTTTGGTGTAATGCTGGTTGCGCAACGGTTGCTGGAGCCGTTTCCAGTGCGATTGCCAATCCTACCGATGTGCTGAAGGTACGGATGCAGGTGCACGGGAAGGGAACCAACAATGCTGGCCTCGCTAGGTGCTTCAAGGAGATTTACGTGCACGAAGGTGTACGAGGGTTGTGGAGGGTGGGTTTTTCGATTTATGATGTATTTCAAAGAGGTGGGATTTAAAATGGAATTTTGGTTCTTTCAGGGAGTTGGCCCAACGGCACAACGAGCGGCTGTGATAGCGGCAGTAGAACTGCCAGTGTACGATTTCTGCAAGTTGCATTTGATGGACACATTCGGAGATCAAGTAACCAACCACTTTATGTAAGTGTATGCATGTTTTACTCGAGTAGAAAAGTTTGCTGAGTGGCATATGTTTCCCATCAGATCAAGTTTCATCGCGAGCTTAGGAAGTGCCATTGCATCGACCCCGATCGATGTGATAAGGACGCGGGTGATGAATCAACGTCGGGTGCAGCTGCAGGTACACAACCTTGGACCCGGAGGAGGAGGTGCTGGTGGCGGTGGCGTCGCCGGTGGTGGTGGTAGCAGTGTTGGAGCTGTCGCTCCCGCCACATCCTCATCGGTCAAGATCTACACCGGTAGTCTGGATTGTGCCATACAAACCGTGCGGAACGAAGGCTTCCGGGCGCTGTACAAGGGTTTCGTGCCGACGTGGGTTCGCATGGGACCGTGGAACATTATCTTCTTCATCACCTATGAACAGCTGAAGCAGTGGTACTAACAGGCGTGCGCACGCGAGCAGTTCGATGCTATATATTGGACTAGACGAATCAACGCAAATCACATAACTTGAATGTGTGTTGATTGAAGACAAACAGAAAATAGAAGTAGGACAAGGAATCTTTAAAAGGAAATGTGAAAGTGAACGCGCACCTAATACTGTTATTTAAATTTATTTACCTGTTTTTGAGAAGAGGAACACGGATTAAGTTTTCCTGTTAGTTTGTACCAAAGGTCTCATTTTATCGATTGGAAGCAACTGCATTTAATCGAACACGAATTTTTACTAACCCATCGTTCATCGTTTGAATATTTCATTCTAAGTTAAAATCTTATGCAGCAAGGCATTTTCTGTGCACCACATATCTTCCAATGTAAGGTCATAAAATCTAATTGGCGGAGTTTAAACCGAACTATACACTGTATTAAATCAACCAACCAACCAAAAAAACTACTGTTAAATTATTGTGTTATCTAAATCTATGCAAAATCGGTTAATCGGCTTGTTTCGCAGTCGCAGTTGGACTAAGACGAAATTTCTTTCAAGAAAGAACTTATGAGAGATATTGAAAGGGTTTATGAGTAAATAAAGATAGAAGTCAAATTCACACACAAACAGTGCGTGTAGTTAACCTGGCTACTGAAACAACAATTTAACACATACTTATTACCATCATGGGGTTATCCGCCGTGCGTATTTGTATAAGTAGATGTTATTTCAAATTTATATTTTGAACCGAAGCAGAATATAAGAGTTTTAGAACAATCTAGATAAGGAATGATGTGTTCTGTTTTTTTTTGTGACTTCCTTTTCTGCCGCTCTTTGCATGTGTTTTTTTTTCTTTCTTTCCTTTATTTAACGTCGGTCTCTGTTCCGCAATCTAGTGCCAATCACCGACGGACATCGATTGCCATTGACGACAATCGAATGTTCAGGAAGGCAGCTTCCACACCTGCGTAGTAACAAAGACAACAAATCAAGAAGACTGGCAACTTTGCCAGAATCCAAGCGACAGATACAGTAGCGCTGCACTTGAGTGAAGGTAGAAGCAATGCATAGAAAAATGAGCAAATACACAAACCCTTCGTCTGAGGATGTAATCTTTGCATTCGAAGCATTTACCTTTGAGCGGCAGATGACGCGATTGTACCTGTCTCATAGCGTTCGTATGAGAAAACGAAAGAGTTGCCAGTCTTCTTGTTTTGTTGTCTTCGGTAGTAAAGAGCCTGAATTTATAAAGAGACGACATCTTATCAATTTGACAGGTCTTCTACTCGATTGGAATAACTTTTCCTATGACTTTGACAGATAATCGATTGTTCCAATTTTGACAAGTCGTCTCTTTATAAATTCAGGCTCTTTACTGCGTAGGATATCGAACCCATTCAACAACACACATGGGCCGGGACCAACGGCTTTATTTCCGTTCCGAAGGAAGCCGTGACCAGAGATTTGTATGCCCCAGAAAAATCCCACCGACCTCGGCTGGGATAGAACCCAGACCCATTGGGGTGAGAAAGCAGTCACGCTTACCACTACACCACCGGCAGCGGCTCATCGCATGTGCGTCCCAGGGCGAAAATCAGTAAGCCAAAAAAATCGCATTTTAAGCTTGATTCGTGCCTGTGCTTCTTATGTGAAGAGACAACCAATTTGGCTGTCTTTCCAAAAATTTTTATAAGAAAGCTGTTGAGTTCATCCAGCATTATGAAAATATGGGTGATTAGCTACCATTTGAATTGAAAAAGTCAGTTTTGGCAACAACTATTATGGGACCGACAAGCGAAGAGCGGCATTTTTGGTCGGGATATTACCATAGAGGTAACTCTAAAACCAGAAGGTCCCGAAGAAACGAGCTCAACTTTTTGGCTCAGCTAATCTTCGGTCCTAAGCTAATCGCAGTTTTCAGAACTTTTCCAAGTTCCTTTTTTTTCTACGAATTTTTCTGAAGGACAATAAAGTTCCCAGAATTTCAACTAAGTTTCCTCAATTTTTACGATCTTGCCTGAACTTTTTAGAAGTCCTTGAAGTTTTACAAAGTTTTCAGAAGTTAAAGAAAAATCCCTGGGCTCATGACCAGTTTGTAGAGCCTGAAGATGTCTTATTATGCTATCGATTAAATATTGATATCATATAATTTCTTTAAATTGTTACTTCTAATCCAGAAAATAAGAAAGTAGCCAACATGAATGACTTAAAAAAATCTTTGTTTGTGGTACAATTTTTTTAATCGCCGTCAAATAGTAACTTGATAAAATACCGGTGAGTAAAAAAAAACAACAAAAACTCTGAGGGGGGGGGGGGCTAGATAATTTTGGAGGGGGCCTGGCCCCCTTTGCACCCCCATTAGCGACGCCAATGCTCAAAAGCCATAACTGCAGGGTTGCCAAACTTATGGGATACTGAGATCGACAGCTTGATTGTCACACTTCGGCACACTCGGCCCAACGCTTGCCTCTGCTTTCGGCACAGATAAAGTTCTCGGTACAGATTGAGGTGTGCAGAGTTGAATCATAAGGTAACTCTAAGACCAGAAGGTCCCGAAGAAACGAGCTCAACTTTTTGGCTCAGCTCTGGTACTATCTTCGGTCCCAAGCTCATTTTATCTGTCAAACATTCATACCGAATCAAAACAAACATTGTGTAGTACTGGAATTTATACTAGAATGAGTTTATTTAATCGATTTGCTTGGGACCAATAGCTAGGCTAGTCAAATAGTGAGCCAATTTAAAATCGTTAGTTTCGTATTGATTGTTGGTTGAATACCCCTTGACTGGCCCACATTTATATGGGAGATTTTATTAATCATTTTTTTCAACAGGCAAACCTCAAGATTTGTGCCATCAGGTGATAAATCCACTCTCTGAATATTTCAGCTCATTCGGATGTAACACGAGCTGGGGTTTTTTTCGTCTTAAAGTTTAAATGAGGATTTTGGTTGTAATGTATGGAGAAATAACATACACACTTAGTTTATTTCACCGAGGCCGGCAAAATGAATTGCCGAGAATCCAACAGCCGAAATTTCGTTAAAAATTTCGGTAAAAGTATAGAATACCGAACGCTTGGTAATTATCATTTTATTCAACTGTCAAATTTTACCGAGAATATCGGTACTTGTATGCCGAGCATTCAGCTTTTATTTTACCGAAATACCTCAAAACAAGAAAAAATCTTTTACCAATCCTTCGGCAAACCATTCATGGAAAAAAAATTAGCTTTTGCCGACTTTCGTCGAAATTTCATCTCAAATTAATTGGATTATTCAGAATAGTAATAATAATAATAACAAAACCAAATAAGTGGGAATTATGTAAACAAGTCTTTATTAAAGTTATTCGTGCAATGACATATTCCTTCTCACTCTTCGGGTGATCTAACAAACTTTTCATCAGTCGTAGAAATTTTGTCAACAGAGAAAGTAATTGCTCTGAAAAATATAAAAAAAAACTGTTTATCACTCGGTGCCCATGCAGTTCCGAATACGTCAAAAGTCTTGCAGAATACGCTGAATGCATGGACGATGTTACCACCTAGCGGTATATTGATACTATTCCATGAAATAAAACATTCTCCCTCGGTCATGGGATTTCCTCTTACCTGTATAATCGAAAATTAAATTAAGATTTAGTACTTACAGAATAGTTGACGCAGTTTTTGGCTTATAGCTTCTCCTTCACCATCGATTTTCCGCAATATTTCCTCCATTTTTCACTTTATTTAATCACACGCAACACTTTAATCATCGCAACTGACGACTTAGTCTCGCACAAAATGGCTGACAATTAATGTGTGCAACTGACAGAAACTTACTCTTATTGTCAAATGCCGAGGTTCGTCTCTTTTTATTACCGAAGTCGGTGAAGCATGGAAAACAACATTACCGAACTTCAGTAAAACTTTCATAAAACCAAAATTCGTTAATTATATATACCGATATTCAGTAAAAACATGTTTTCTAACGAGAAATCAGCAAAAATCGTGTTTTGCCGATGAAGTTCAGCAAAATATTTTACCGAGATAAAAATATAAGATTAAGTGTGTACCTCTACTCTTTCGTGCATAAAACGGGTTCAGCAAACTCGTTTATGCTCAGAATTTCAGCACATGTAGCTTAATCTATAAGGAACAACTTTGCTGAAGACAGCATCATGATTCAAGTATGGCTTCAATTAAGTTACACTGGAGTCGCTTTTTACGCGGGTGATACGTCCCGCGTAAAAAAAAACCGCGTAAAAAAAAACCGCGTAAATTCCGGAATCCGCGTAAAAAAAAACCGCGTAAATTCCGAAATCCGCGTAAAAAAAACCGAGTAAAAAAAAGACCGTGTAAGAAAAAACCGCGTAAAAAGCGATATACCGCGTAAATTCAAAAATCCGCGTAAAAAAAAACCAAAATCCGCGTAAAAAAAAACCGCGTAAATTCCGGAATCCGCGTAAAAAAAAACCACGTAAATTCCAAAATCCGCGTAAAAAAAAACCGCGTAAAAAAAACCGTGTAAAAAAAAACCGCGTAAAAAGCGACTCCAGTGTACTAACTAAGCCACTGTTTGTTTATTAATTTATTTTGTGCGTGAATGGGTGGAAGAACGTTTTTCCCTTGTGTGCCTTTCTGTACACCTTAATAAAGATAAATCAATCAATCAATCAATTCTGTACACCATGGTGTAGATTCTAATGTTATTTTTGGTGATAATTTCGAGGGTAATTTTGACAATTGTTGTGCACTGGTAGCGATTCTGCTGTAGATGCCGATGTTGACGCATTTCGGCGGTGCAGAGGAGGAGTTCCTGTAATGATAGAATATTAGAAAATACCTAGGAAAATGATCATTTTACTTTTTTGCTTTTTTGTTAACAATGTTATGATGTCGATACAGACTGACACTGCACTACACACACAATCATAAAAAACATTTTTAAACAATTGTGTTGATTTGATTTAAATGGGCTTCTTTATTGATTTGAAACTTTATTATTAGCTGAAACAAATAGAAATTTCGTATTAAATAATAACAAAATATTTTATTTGTTTACGCCTCAGTGTTTTTTCTGCGTGTAGTATTATGGATATATTCATTATTGAATTTAAATGTGCATTTTGTTCGATTTCCACTGAAAAAAATAAAAGTTCATATTTTCCACAGGCCAACATCCAGACTCGTGTCAGTTAGTGAAATAACCACTCTCTGAATGATTCAGCGGTTTTTTACGTTACACGGATTGGCGCTTTTGATTTAATGTTTATATAGGGGATTTGGTTGAAATTTTCATATACAAAATGCTCATATAGGGGAAATGTCTCTAATGTTGGCCTATGGATCTAAGATTGGGCCCATCGCTAAAAATCTGCTATTTATCAATTTTATCTAGATGAACGCGTTATTGGGACGTTACTAATGGATATTTTTGGTCGCTATTGGAAATTTAGTCGATTGCTGAATTTATGTATGGGCCCAAATTAGGGACACTTAGGCCGACATTACCTGCATTTCCCCTACATTCAAAATCGAATATCTCAATAAAACTAACGGGATTCATAATGCAGTCTTCAGCAAAGTTGTTACAAATTGTTTGAACTACAAGTTTTGAAAAGATATGGAGGCGAACCAGCCTAAGGCTGAAAGCCTCCTAAATAAAGCTAAATAATAATAATAATAAGTTTTGAAAATCTGAATCAAATCGAGAATTGACAAATCCATGTTTCAATCGACCACCGTGACGCTGCAATCGCAGCGGTGATAAATAAGTCCGACGTAATGTGTCAAACTGAAT